TGGATTCCCCCAGCTCTTCAGTAATCACCATGCAGAGGTGGCAGCATCCCCTGGATCACAATTTGGGGAGCCCTCATTCACATTTGGAGGCCAGAAATCACTGGTGGCGGTGACATTTCTTGTTCATTAATATGGCAGGAGATATTTTCATTTAACAATTTCGAAGACAGTCACAGGCTGGAGTCAGTAACTCAGTCATTGAGTCTGGCGTTGGCTCTGTGGCCTTCTTTCTGATGTGTAACAAAAGGGCAAGGGTGTTGTAAACAGATAGGGGGTGTATTTAGGATAGAGTCTAAAGAAAAATGTGAATTGTAGCTCCTGCAGAGTTAGGCTGCAGAAAAGCAAACTTAGCTACTGATATGCAGAGTTAGGAGCAGTTAAAAGTAAAAAAAGTAGGAATGTTCAGGCCTGCTCACTGTTATCTTTATCTTCTTTGTTCTCAGGAAAGGGAAAGAGAAAAACTCATTCCTCTTTTTTTCCTTTCACTGCAACAAGTATACAACAGACTGATACAGTTATTACTTAATCATACAGCATATTTGTACTTTTTATTTATTCTTTTGCCATAGAGATTATTGAACAAGGTAAAGTTCTTTGTGGTGAACATCAGGTCCCTGTGGAGGAACTATTAGAGATACAAATGTTTTTATATGTGCAAGGAATGAAAGAAGGAGATATTCCTTGTGGATTATCTATTATAGTGACAGGTATTTATTTACATGTTAGATGTAAGTATTTCTGTGTATATGTAAATGGAAGGAAGGCAGGAGATAATCCTCATGGATTAGCTAATACAGATACAGATTTCTGCGGGGATGTAAGAGATGTGGATTTCAGTGCATAGGTAGAAAGAAGGAAGGAGATAATCCTAGCGGATTATCTATTACAGATACAGATTTCTGGGTTTACATTAGTTCAGTTCAGTCACTCAGTCATGTCTGACTCTTTGCGACCCCATGAACCTCAGCACGCCAGGCCTCCCTGTCCATCACCAACTCCTGGAGTCCACCCAAACCCATGTCGATCGGTGATGCCATCCAACCATCTCATCCTCTGTCATCCCCTTCTCCTCCTGCCCTCAATCTTTCCCAACATCAGGGTCTTTTCCAAGGAGTCAGCTCTTCGCATCAGGTGGCCAAAGTATTGGAGTTTCAGCTTCAGCATCAGTACTTCCAATGAACACCCAGGACTGATCTCCTTTTGGATGGACTGGTTGGATCTCCTTGCAGTCCAAGAGACTCTCAAGAGTCTTCTGCAACACCACAGTTCAAAAGCATCAATTCTGCACTCAGCTTTCTTTATAGTCCAACTCTCACATCCATACATGACCACTAGAAAAACCACTTGACTAGACAGACCTTTATTGGCAAAGTAATGTCTCTGCTTTATAATATGCTGTCTAGGTTGGTCATAACTTTCCTTCCAAGGAGAAAGCGTCTTTTAATTTCATGGCTGCAATCACCATCTGTAGTGATTTTGGAGCCCAGAAAAATAAAGTCTGACACTCTTTCCACTGTTTCCCCATCTATTTGCCATGAAGTGATGGGACCGGATGCCATGATCTTAGTTTTCTGAATGTTGAGCTTTAAGCCAACATTTTCACTCTCCTCTTTCACTTTCATCAAGAGGCTCTTTAGTTCTTCTTCACTGTCTGCCATAAGTGAAAGGTTGTTGCTGAATCACGCAAAGACACCGGCATTCTTGGCCTCCAGAGAAGAATTCAATCCGGGGCCAGAGATGAGGCTGGATCACTCAGAGCTTTTGTGTAATAAAGTTTTATTAAAGTATAAAGGAGATAGAGAAAGCTTCTGACATAGACATCAGAAGGGGGTAGAAAGAGTACCCCCTTGCTAGTCTTAGCACTGGAATTATATACTCTCAAATTAGTTATTACAGCAAATCAAAAGAATGTCTAGAGGTTGTAAAGACCTCACCAGACCTACTCCCATGATTTACATTTTGAGATAACAGAATTAGCCAGAAGGTTTTTTCGGCGACTGTCCTGAAGCAGGATACAGTATTGTTATATAATCCTAAGGAATGTAGAGGGGGAAAAAAAGTTTGTCCTTTCTTCCTCCTTGAGAATTCCAAACCCCTCTCTCCATGGGGACCCCTAGACTTCTTATCAACCTGCCTAGGAATTGACTCTCTCATTCCCCCCTTTTCTTTTAGGAGAATTATGTTGCCAAGGGAAAGGGGCATCGTTTTCGTTCCATAACTACTTCTGCTGTTTAGGGGCGTGGCCCCTAAATTGTTACAGCAACATATTCTCCTAACCCTCATATTGAGATCTCTGATCCAGGGGCCCCATGTAATAATAGTTGAAGGAGGCTGTGGCACTCATAGGAGCTTGGACAACCATTTGTAGCTTAAAAGACTTCATGCGACTAGAAACAAATCCAGTTACACAGTTACAGCTGCAGGGAGCAAACAGCAAAAATAGAACAATCAGAATTATTGTAATTAAGATAGTCTTCCACCATGGGGAACTAGTTAACATCTCCCAGAGTGAGGCAATTAAGGCTTCAGGAGTATCCATAGCCCAGTCATCTTGGTCATGTGTTTAGTAAAATGAGTAACTTTAGTGCTCATATCAGGTATATAAGTGCAGCATTGGGTATGAATAATAGCACAAGTTCCTCCTTGCGCAGCTGTCAGAATATCTAAAGCTAATCTATTTTGTAAAACCACCTTTCTAATTTGTGCTTGTTCATCATTAAGAGCTGAAATAGCTTTTTGAGAATCTTGTAATGCCTATTGAATAAAATTAGTCACAGCATCCACTCGTAGCATAACATCTGTAGTTCCCAAAGAGGGAAGAAACACTGCAGCCAAATAATCATACCAGTGAAATACAGACCTTGCCCACCAAGTTTTAAGGTGAGGTAAATTAGCAGACTTCTCTGGAAGCTCTGAAAATATAAAGCCGTGAGTAAAGGCTAGACCTAGGGTGCATCTCCCTATCCAACCAGGGGGAAGCCAAGCCCATAGGTAAGAGCCACATATTCAGTAAGTCCCATTTGGAGCAAGCCAGCGTGACTGAGATATCCAGTCCCAATCAGTGCCTGGCCAGACGAAGGGAGGACCTGAATTGGGGTTGGAAAACACGGGAATGATTACATTGCATATTTCCTGAGGCAAAAATCCCAAGTGTTTCCAATCACTATAATTAAGTTGTTGGTTAACTTTTGGGGATGGCTCGGTTTGTTCCTAGCATATAGGGGCAGTAGATATTAAACGTCCTTTTTCAGGAGTTAGCCATATAACCTCATCTCTTATTTGATAAGCATCAGATAAAAAACTATCAGATCTAAACCTATTTGTCTTATGTGTAGCAAAATAGTCATTAAACCAAGACAATGTATAATCAAAATTAAAAGTCATGTTATGTCCATAGTTAAAGTACAAAGTGTTGCACCAGTCCATTTTAGGGTTGTTAGATGTCATCAGTTTAAGAAGAGGCATCACATGCGATTGTTGAAGGTATTTGCAGACTTGGAGAAAGTCCTTTTCTTGAAGTAGAGATGTCTACCATGGGAAGCCTTCCACCGATGAAGAAGGGAGTGCTCCACAGACCCAGCAGTTAGGCCAATTGTGGAATGTAGCATAGGAGTGAGCCCAGGACAGGAAGGTATTGTCTTGAGGATCAGACTGCAGACTCAGGATCTTTGGAGTCAGCAGAGGTAGACTCACATAGATTATCAGGCCCATCTGAAACGTACAAAGAGCATAGAAAGTAAAGACATAAAATGACATCACTTAGTTCTGGTCAGGGTACCACCTCTTAACTCGAGTGTGATGTACCCATGAATCAATTCCTGGTACTTTGACAGCTGTGGGAGAAGAAAGAATAACCTGGTAAGGGCCTTCCCAGAGGGGCTCGAGGGATGGGCCCCCAGACCCCAATGTTTTTATGAGGACCTCGGTTCCTGGCTCAAATAGAGGCTTGCTTGACTCAGAGGCTGGGTCAGGAGTCATCTCCTGGAGTTCTATTAATGCCTGTTGAAAATCTGAGAGCTGAGTTACATAATTAGTTAATTCCATGGCTTCAGGGTCTATAACAATGTCAGTGTGTAAGAAAGGCCTTCCATAAATACATTCAAAGGGGGACAGTCCATCCTTTTTTGGGGCAGTTCGAGACCTCATTAAAGCTATGGGTAGGGCTTTAATCCAATTGTCCTGCATCTCTTGAGTTAACTTGCGCAGATGTCTTTTGATAATGTCATTAGCTTTTTCAACCTTTCCTGAGGATTGGGGTCTCCAGGAACAGTGTAAGTGATACTCTATTCCTAGAGCTTTAGACACCCCCTGAGTTACAGCAGCTTTAAAGGCGGAGCCATTGTCACTCTGAAGGCTCCGTGGCAGCCCAAACCTGGGGATATTAAAATCTTTATTCACTACGACAGGGGAAAGCCTCAATCCATCCAGTAAAAGTATCTACCCAAACTTGTAAGCAAGCATAGTTGGAAATGATGGCTTGCTTTTACCTAGAAAATCTGAACCAAAAGAAACAATAGAAACCTCAAAGATCAGGGTGCACAAAGATCAAGATTTTAAGAATATTTTAGGTTTGCAAATAATAGTTAATATGCTTGCAGTTTCAACAATATGTTTTTATACTGATAAAGAATGTATTTTTCCAAGATGTTTCCAGTATGATCACCTCCTGCTCAGAGAAGGAAATGGCAACCCACTCCAGTATTCTAGCCTAGAGAATCCCGTGGATGGAGGAACCTGATGGGTTGCTGTCCGTGGGATTGTACAGAGTCGGACACAACTGAAGCGACTTAGCATGCGTGCATGCATTGGAGGAGGAAATGGCAACCCACTCCAGTATTGTTGCCTGGAGAATCCAAGGGACAGAGGAGCCTGATGGGCTGCCGTCTGTGGGATCACACAGAGTCGGACACAACTGAAGCTACTTAGCAGCAGCAGCAGCAGCACCTCCTGCTGAAAGCCTGGGGTGCTGGATCCAGGCCACTTCCTGTCTGTCTTTACAGGACACTGGGTTGCACTCTGAGAAGTTCCTGGATCTCCCCTGGACCTGACCATCATGTGGCCACAGAAATTGGTAACGTTGTTTGCCTGTTGAAATGTTTAATGACACAGATTCTTTCAGTTTCCTGATGTGTGTGAAGTGTGGAGCCCAGTGATGATTTCTTTTCCAAGAAATCTACATTCTTGCTCCCATAGGAAGGTGAGCCCCCATCCAACAATGAGAGACTCTGCATGTGTGTGACCTGTGCCTCCTGGGAGGCCAGCCCTAAACTAGTTTGAACCTGACCAAGTTCTGTCTACATGGTAGATTTAGACCTCTCCAAGTCTTGTCTACACTGATGTTTAGATGAGACCGTGTGCTTTCTGCAATGAGAACATTTAAACTAATCTTGTACTCTGTGCACTAGGACATGGAGACCTGCGTAGAGACCTGGCATGGCCTCTGTCCTGGAAAACTCCATGCCTGCATCTGAATGTCAGGGCTCAGGGGTCTGGAGCTGAGGTGGGCTTCTCTGGGTAATCGTGCTGTTCTCTGAGTGGGGTTTCATGTTCCTCCCAGGGTCAGTGTTGTGGTAGGGTTCGTAGTCTTTCTCCCTGCCAGGTTCACCTTCCCTGGGCTCCTTGAGACTTCTCATGTGGGCTAACTAGTAATTATTCCAATGTTCCAGCATATTTAGGTTTAATAGGGAGGCAGGTTCACCTGGTGAATTGGTTCCAGGGCACAGGGATCGGGCAAAAAGTCAATGGGCAGCAGGTGAGGTTGCTGCTGTGGTCTCCATCCAGTCGACTCTCTCCTCCGAAGAGAACAGAGCTGCCCCTCGTCTTTCAGCCCAGCTCTACTATTTTCTCAACACCTCAGCGGGACAAGACAGACAGAGCCTGCCAGAACCAAGGTAGTGTGTTCAACTCTAACACGAGCTTTCAAACCAGCAAAAATTACACAGAACCAAAGTGAAAACAGGAAGGGCCTGACTTCTCAGGGACAATTGTGGGGAGAGGAGAAGGTCCCTACACTTCTTTCTAGGGTCTCGGAGGCCCCAGGGACCAGGCTTGTTTACACATAGGGGGCCCACTGACCACAGCCATGGTGTCCTGACTGCAGGGACATGTGACCCCAGGTGGGTAGTCTGGGGACTGTGTGAGTCTCACCCCATCTCCATGGGTTAGGATCACATGTGTGGGGAGACCATACATACAAAGCTAACAAAAAGGGAAGAATACATGAGAGCTTCACTTGTGTTTAGGAATTAATGCTTTATGGTATTCACTTTATACAGGCATGTGGCCTGTTTTTTTCTTTACCCCCGCGAGGTTCACCCTCCCTGGGGCTCCTGGAGGTTCCTCAGGTGTCTACCTGGTAATCATTCCAATTCACCAGCACGAGCATGGTGGGAAGGGAGGCAGGTTCACCTGGTGAATTGATTGCAGGGCACAACGGATCAGGTGAAAAGCCAGTGGGCAACAAGTGAAGTTACTACTGTGATCTCCTTCCAGTCGACCGCCCCTCCTCAGCAGAGACCAGGCCTGCGCCTGGTGTGTGTTTTGTCACCACTTCAGTGGAACAAGAAAGGACCGAGCCTGCCAGAACCAAGGTAGTGTGTTCAACATTATCATGACAGCTCTAAAAACAGTTACAATCACATAGAACCAAAGGGAGAAGAGGAGGACTTCTCTGGGAAAATTGTGGGGAGAGAAGACTGACCCTACACTTCTTTTTACCATCACAGAAGTTTACAGAAACTCACTCGTTTCACTTTAAGGGCCCAACCAGCAGAGACATGGTGGCCTAACCAAGGGTCGTGCGAACCCAGGTGCAGGGTCTGGGGATTGTGTGGGTCTCACCCCATCCACATGGGTCAGGATCCTGTACCTGGAGACCACATATCTGCTCTTTACCTGAAGCGTGTTTTGTCCCCTCGGAGATTCCCAGCGTCTGAACTGAGGGTGTTGCCCTGATTAACCTGTGGCCCCTTTTCTTCTCTTCACCTTGTCGCCTTCACATGAGGTCAGGCACCTTTGGGTGGGTTGCTGCTCTGTGTTTTGCTGAGTGAAAACCTTTGGTGGTGTCATATTAATATCATAGCAGATCCCTTGTCTAATCGTAGGGGTCACTACTGTCTGGTGACCCCTACACTGAGCTCAGATAGTTTAATTTGTAATTTAACTTATTTTTTATTGGAGCACAGGTGGTTTCTGTTGTTTTGTTTGTTTAGGTGTATATGAACTTGATTCAGTTATACCTAGATGTGTATCTATTCTTTTTCTGCTTTTTTCCTCATATAGGTTATTATAATTTTTCCAGTGAGTTTCCTCTTCTCTTCAGAAAACTTGATATATTATCAACTTGATATATATTGGTGCATATATTTTCATCCCAAACTATTAATTTATCCCCCTCTTCTTTTGATAATTGGATTCAGTTTTCTCAGGCTGTGAGTCTCTTTGGTACATTAGTTCACTGGTATGAATTTATAGATTCCACCTGTACATATCACATATTTGTCTCTCTGACTTACCTCACATAGAATTATAATTTCTCAGTTCATCCATGCTGCTGCCAATATCATTATTTCATTTTGTTTTATGACTGAGTAGTATGCCAGTGTATAGATGTACCTCATAGCCTTCACATTTCTGTCACTGGACATTTTGGTGGATTCTATATCTTGGCTATTGTAAATAGTGTTGCCCTGAAAATTGAGGTGCACATGTCATTTTGAATGATGATTTTCTGGACCTGAGTCCAGGAATGAGATTTCAGGATCATATGATACCTCTCTGTTTAGTGTTTCAAGGAGCTTCCATGCTGTTTTCCATAGTGGCTTCACCATTTAATTTACATTCCTACCAAGATTGTAGGAGGATTCCTTTTTCTGTACATTCTCTACAGTTTTTATTCTTTGTAGATCTTTTCAATGATGGCCATTGTGACTAATATAAGGTGATACCTTATTAATGTTTTGATTGGCATTGATTTAATAATTATTGATGTGGAGTATCTTTCCATGTGCTTTTATTATTTTACACCTTGTGAGTACAGTTTACCTCTTGAAACTGGCTTCTAGAAACTTGACTCTGTTTGGAATTTTTTTGCAATGATTTACCTCAGGACATTTCTTGAGTACGGGTGTCATTTAAAGTCCTGTTGGACTTTTGACTATTAAGAGCCCTTCAGCACGTGTTTTATGGCTTCCCTGTTGGATCAGTGGTAAGGAATCCACCTGCAATGCAAGAGACTTGAGGAGACACAGTTTCGATCCCTGGGTTGGGAAGATCCCCTGGAGAAGGAAATGGCAACCCACTCCAGTCTTCTTGCCTGGGAAATCCCATGGACAGAGGAGCCTGGCAGGCTACAGTCCATGGGGTTGCAAGGAGTTGGACACAATTGAGTGACTAAACAAAACAGCAGCTGTTTTAATGTGTATATATTGATCTGAACCCCTAATTACTCCCTGCCCCCTGACATTTCTTTTTGGTAAACATCAAGTTTCTTTCCTAAGTCTGTGAACCTATTTCTCTTTTGAAATGAAGTTCATTTGTGTCCATTTCAGATTTCACCGGAAGTGATGCTTGTCTCCCTGTCTCACTTTCTTCACTTGGTGTAATCACCTCTGCTTTCTTCCCTGTAAGTGGAAATGTCATTGTTTCACCCTTTTTTATTTCTGAGTAATACTGCATTGTGTATATGTACTCCATCTTCTGTATCCATTCATCTGTCTTTGTACACTTAAGTTGTTTCTGTGTCTTTGCTGTTGTACCTAGGGCTGCCATTACCTTTGGGGTGCAGGTGTCTTTTTATATTTTGGTTTTCTCTGGATATACACCTAGGTATGGTATTGCTGGATCACTTGGTACTTCTATTTTTAATTTTCTAAGGACCTCCATAATGATCTCCCTAGTGGGTGAAAGGTATGCCAAAGAATGCTCAAACTACTACACAATTGCACTCATCTCACACACTAGTAAAGTAATAAAAAATTCTGTAAGCCAGGAATCAGCAGTATGTGAACTGTAAATTTTAGATTGTTCCAGCTGGGTTTAGAAAAGGCAGAGGAACCAGAGATCAAATTGCCAATATCCGCTGGATCATTGAAAAAGCAAGAGAGTTCCAGAAAAACATCTATTTCTGCTTTATTGACTATGCCAAAGCCTTTGACTGTGTGGGTCACAATAAACTGTGGAAAATTCTGAAGGAGATGGGAATACCAGACCACCTGACCTGCCTCTTGAGAAATCTGCATGCAGGTCAGGAAGCAACAGTTAGAACTGGACATGGAACAACAGACTGGTTCCAAATAGGAAAAGGAGTACGTCAAGGCTGTATATTGTCACCCTGCTTATTTAACTTATATGCAGAGTACATCATGAGAAACTCTGGGCTGGAGGAAGCACAAGCTGGAATCAAGATTGCCGGGAGAAATATCAATAACCTCATATATATAGATGACGCCACCCTTATGGTAGACAGTGAAGAAGAACTAAAGATCCTCTTGATGAAAGTGAAAGAGGAGAGTGAAAAAGTTGGCTTAAAGCTCAACATTCAGAAAACTAAGATCATGGCATCTGGTCCCATCACTTCATGGCAAATAGATGGGGAAACAGTGTCAGACTTTATTTTTTCGGGCTCCAAAATCACTGCAGATGGTGATTGCAGCCATGAAATTAAAAGATGCTTCCTCCTTGGAAGGAAACTTATGACCAACCTAGACAGCATATTATAAAGCAGAGACATTACTTTGCCAACAAAGGTTTGTCTAGTCAAAGCTATGGTTTTTCCAGTAGTCATGCATGGATGTGAGAGTTGGACTATAAAGAAAGGGGAGTGCAGAAGAATTGATGCTTTTGAACTGTGGTGTTGGAGAAGACTCTTGCAAGTCCCTTGGACTGCAAGGAGATCCAACCAATCCATCCTAAAGGAAATCAGTCCTGAATATTCATTGGAAGGACTGATGTTGAAGCTGAAACTCCTATATTTTGGCCACCTGATGCAAAGAGCTGACTCCTTGGAAAAGACCCTGATGCTGGGAAAGATTGAGGGCAGGAGGAGAAG